GATACGTCCAGTCGGTAATTTGAGTTGTGCTTCTCGAATTGCACCACTTTCTGACTGCTTTAAATCTATGATGCGCGCCATTTTCCATTTTCCACGCGTTTCGTGGCAAAGCTGGATGGTGAACTATTACAACTATACCTATGGTTGGGGTTATTAGAGCGCCTCGTTTGTTATTTATATTGAGTTTGTGAGTCTCTCGGAGAATTTTCAAGTATTCTTGGCTCCAAATATTCCAACGTTGTTCTGTCAGTTTGTGACCCGATGCAAGGGCATTCTGCACTTCCCTTCGAGTGCGTGGTAATGCTGCTTCTTGGGGCGGAAGATACGTTTTATCTTCTTCCTCTTTTCTGCTGAATTCAAATGGGTACGTTACTATCATGTCGCGCTGGATAAAGTCCAGTGGCCGCAAGGTAACAAAGTTGTCGGAGCCTTCTTCTTGGTATGAGAGGTGGACTGTTGAGATTTTCCTTTATTTCTACCAAGAGGGTTTGCAATTCCTCCGATGTTGGGATCGTCCTTTGCAACTTTGTATAGAGAGTATTTAACTAACCGGCTTTATGAGACGCTCGTAAAATACCCCCTGACACGGAGCATACGGCGTAATTGTCTTCCATGTTACTCCTTTCGTTGCCATTGTATTTCCCAATGACGCGTCGTTAGTAACGGGAAGAATTGCATCTTGTAGAATTTGCTCGCTCAATAGGAAATTGGATGCATTAACGAGGTGGTAGTTTTGGGCACTCCTCATCTGGTAAAAATTTTCGTAAAGCCAGCAGGAAATCATTCGTCGTTACGTTGTGCACAAGTTCTAAATGAAGTAGTCTGGTTGTCGTACACGTGATGATGATCCCGTAGACCTTTGTCGTTCCGCCATTATTTCTCGTTGTTAGTGGTCCGAAATAGTCTACATCTACATGCTCGAGCAGACGTGGTCCTCTCACTCTTCTTTCTGGAACATCCTCCATCGGCGAGAATTTGTAGGGGAGACTGTTCATCTTTTGACAGGGTACGCATTGTCTTATAACTTTCTAAGCAATTTACCTTATGCTTGTTATCCAGAATCTTTTGCGTGCCTCGGCTATGGTATGGCTTGTTGCATTATGGAATGGGAGGTGAGCCTCGGCAACTATTAATTCCGCTAGTGCCGTTTTAAAGATGATTAGAATTGGTTGCTGATCTTGCCGTGGCAGGTCTGCTTTGTTCAATCTGCCTTTGCACCGAATGATTCACCATTCATCGTGATATAACTTCAAAGCGCTTGTAATCTTTCATTGATCGTGAAGGAAAATGAAACCTTAGAGCTGGTTTTGCTGGTGAATCTGAGAATATATGTTGTCGTTCTCTTTGCTCTTGCGAGTCTATTGAATCGCTTCCAGTCGAGTAATTCTTCGATGGGTGCGGTGGTTATTGATGTAGCCGTGGATACTTGTGTTCTTTGTATTCTTCCTTGCTGTGATGTGAAAAGGTGTTGATCATTTTGTGGGTGTAGTTCCTTAATGAACACCGGTCCCTTCCACCATATGTGGCCTTTTAATTCGAATTTGTTTAGTCCTCTTGTAGCACAATCAGCCGGGTTCTGATTAGCGGCTATGTAGCCAAATTGTACGGGTGTTGCTAAGTTTTCCAGTATTCGGCGCATTTCCTTCATGCGGTTCTTCACCAACATCCCTAATGTTTTGTGCACCTCAGTGGACCGTATCCAGCTGAGCGCGACTTCTGAGTCCGAGAGTATAGTTATACTTGTGATAGAAGTGAGGTTGTTTAATGATTTGTATATCGAATGTGCTAACCGGGTTGGCAATGTTAGTGCATTTATTTCCAGTTTTGGAATTGTGGTGTTGTCTCTGACTGATGGTAGCTTAGACTTCTCTGCGCGTAGTTGTGATTCACCATTGGAAACAATGTAGGCGTAAGTGGCCATACAATGTTTACTAGCGTCCGCGAACAGAATCAGCCTGGATGAAACTCCGATTTGAGCTACTTTTCGTGGAATGAAAGCTTCAAACTCATTAAAATCATTAACTATCTTTTGCCATTAATTTTTGTGTTCCCTTGACAGAGGGCTGTCCCACATATAGTCGAAGGTCCAGAGGTTTTGAAGAAATTGTTTTCCTCTTAATGTGACTGGCGTGAGCCACCCCATAGGATCGTAGATAGCAGCTACCTGTTCGGCGATTGCACGTCTAGTTAGTTTCAATTTTGTTGGATATCGGCATGGGATAAGGGATTTATCATCCGTGGAACGCCATGGTATTCCTAAGACCTTTTGTAGACTATTTGATGTTCGATCCTTTTGAGGAATTTGCTGTAGAAAGTCTTTGTCATTTGAAAGAAATTCACGTAAGTTCATGTTGAAATCATTGAATATCTGCTTTGCTTCTTTGTATGTCGTCACTGCTTCTTGTATTGAGGCGGCTGTTAGAATCACGTTATCCACATAACCGTTACTGATGAGGTGGTTGACGATTTTAGGGTCATTTTAACAGTTATTTAGATGGTGTTTAATTGTTCCTGCTAGAAGGAACGGTGAACAATTAAGTCCAATGCAACTCGTGTAAATGTGCACGGTTATGTTCCGTGGTTCCAGAAGTTGTGAGACATCTCGGATCCATAGAAATCGTGTAGCGTCTCTATCTATTTCATGCAGCCGTATTCGTAGGAAAACGTTTTCGACGTCGCCAATCATTGCGACATTTCCGATGCGAAACCGAAGTGAAATGTCGTATATTTGGGGTAGGAATAGTGGAGCTTGATGAAGGACATAATTTAGTGAGGTAGCCTTCTTGAGGTGAGCAGATGCATCGTAGACAATTCTCAACTTTGCAGTTTCCTTGTTCGGAGTGAGGACCGTTTGGTGTGGAAGGTAATGTATTCTCTCTTGTTGCTATTGATTCGTCAACTTCTTCAATGATGTTTTGGTCCAGTTGTTCCTCGATGGTTTCATGATAATTTTGGAACATAATTGGATAATGCTTTAGCATCGCTATTGTCGCTTGCAATCGTTTTACCGCGACGCTTTTTTATCTGGTAATGTGCCTGCATCCTTTTCCCAAGGAAAGCGGACATAATAGCCGTCTTCTCATTTTTCTATTGTTCTCTGGAACTCTTTCCAGATATTGTCGTCCTGTTGCTGTCGCTCTTGTACGCTTGGTCCTGTATATTCATGGATTCCTGATGATTCCAATGACCAATATCTTTTCCATGACTGCTGTTCGGTTATGTGCTGACATGCATGTGTGGCATCCATCATGAGAGACACAGTCTCTCTCGGTGTATCGATTGGGTCGTGGAGCGTTCCTGTCACGAGATAACCAAATTTGGATGGGATTAATTTCAATCCTGATGGCTGGCAATGTTCTTGTTGGAGTTAATCCATTTTTGACCATGGTGAGTGAGTTTGAGCATCCGAGAAGGATTTGTGGACATACGGCGTTAATATCTGGATTGATCGAACTTAATTTTATGATTCTCGAGAAATTCTGTGTCCTCTCCGTTTGATTGAGGTTCTAGAAGCTGTGTAATTTTATCGATTCCAGTTGCCGTAATTTTATGCTTTGAGCCAAAAGCATCCCTCAATTTCAACGTAGTGACTCCGCATGTCCTAGTAATTGGCTTTGGATCACCGAATGTGTGGATGGTTAAATCGTTGGAATCACTGTCTCCTAGTTGAAGGCGATTGGCCAGTAATGAACGAACGGTCAGATCCTGTATCGAGGATCACCTCCGTTTGTTCTTGTCTCGTCTCGTTGGGATTGAATACTTCCGCCTCTCCTGCTAAAATTTGACTGTTGGATGCGTGTTTCTTCCTAGTATGAAGAACGACGGTATCCTCACGCCGCTTCTCATCAGAAGTTACTGTATTGATTTTTGATAAACTGTGCTTCCTTTCCTTGGAATGGTATTTGGTAATTTCGTAGGTGCGATTGTTCTGTCGATTGTAGTATTTCCTCCTTTTCTCGACTTGTATTCAGTTGGTACGTGCTGATACCTACAAATGGAAGTGTGGTGTCCATGCTTATTGCAATTTCGGCACGGACTTGCTTTACAGTCGGGAAGCTGGTGCAATGATGAACCACAATTGTAGCAGAGATTACGAGTTTTAACAAGAAGCATGCATATCGGGTACTTTCGAACGCCCTTTCTGATTTATGTGTTCCGTTCTTAGCGTGGGCCACTCTTGCTCTCGGTCCTGTAGTTCGAGTTCCTCCCTTATGTAGTCTTTGACATCCTTTAGCAGTTCGCATGTTTTTGTAACTTCTGCTCTTCTTCGTCCTTTTTGCCGGGCATGCCGTTGAATCTCTCTTATGAATTTCTCTAAAAGTAGTTGCTGTAAGAGCAGAGTATCGATAAATTCTCCTTTTTGCTACAGTTGAACAACTATCGAGTGAAGGGTTTCACACAGTTTTTCCTGATCTTCGAGACGTTTCGTCTTTGCTTCTGTTGTACGTAGTCTGCAAATGACGGAGAGTGCTTCTTTACTGTCCTACTTTTCTTTCAGATGCTGTATTACAATCGGATAAGTACTTTGCGATATTTGATACTGTTTGACGCATCCTCTTGCTTCTCCCTGAAGGGCGTCCAGAAGATAGGTGATATTTTGAAGGTTATCCATCCGGCTCGAGTGCACATTATAATTGGATGCTTCCCAAAATGCTTCCCACACTCTTATGACTCCGTTGAATTTTGGAATAGGGATAAGTGGTAAATTCGCTAGAGGCGGATAGACGTTTGAGTTCTTTAGTGGGTTAGTCTAGGTGCCTTTCAACGTTTTTCCTAAATGGATGAGCTTAGAGAGGCAGCATTCCGCTTCGTCGAGGTGCTCCACTGTTTTTCCTACGTTCATATTGGCAGTGCGTCGCAGCTCCTGTTTTGTTTGAGTATTGGGATTTTGCTGGAGTTGATCTGCCATTATGGCATGAGTACCCAGCGCGGTCTGGACGCCATTCCGATGATGCTCAATGGCCGATTTTGCTTGTTCTATCTTCTTTTGCCGTCCAGTAATGTACCTTATCCTGCTAGTTTGTTTCGATGACAAGTTCGCAGGAGTGAGTAAGAGTGAAGAATTGTCTGTAAGGTATCTGTGAGCAATGAAAGTGCTTAACTTATGTTAACACACACAACGTAATTACACGAGAATTAACGATAACATTAATGTATCATCAGTGCAAGAGCTAAGGGTATACATAGGTCATTTAACATCATTACGACCTAAGCCCATGAATTTGCAAGGAAAGAATGAACAGGAGGGAAACAATGATGGAGTTCGCGACGGCGCCCTCCACGGCATCGCCGGTCCAAGTGACGGTGCTATTGGGCGTGGCTACGTCCAAGCGAGCGGCGTGCCCATTGGCCAGAACGAGACATGGACGCAGGGCATGCACGCGGCGTTGTAGCAACGCGGTCTCCATCGATCCATAGAATGTATTAGTTAGGTAGATAGAGAATTCTCTATCTGATAGAGGAAATCTCTATATCTGGTGTGAAAATGGAAAGTGCTTATCTTCATCTAAGCTATCGTATGGGACGATTCTTAGTGTGACATTAAAAAAGGATAAAGGATAAAGCTCTCGGCGTTAATTAATCCCTGAGGGATGCACCGTGCATTCGACTTCGTTAAGAATCGTAAGAGGTGAATAAATGCATATCTCGTTTTTATAATGACTGGCGATATCCTACCGATGTATCGAACCAGTGCCGCTATCCTCCAGACAAGTCTGGTACCAATTTACCGACTCCGGACAGATGGAAGGCTTGGTGGACCATCGGCACGGGAATGAATTCCACGTGTCTGTCGCAGGGCTCCTCCGACCACTGCGCGGCACGCGCCGTTGAGGGAATATGTAGAACCATCAATACGTAAGGAACGACAGTAGAAAGTTTCTACTATAGATTTATTGATGCTCCCACTTATGAAGTACAATAATCACCTGTGTCACCTGTCATTCCATTGATCGTCGAGTGACCTGAGCGAGTGACAGTAAATCTTCTATTGTTCCCTGCCGCGTGCAAGAGTAATCCAGTGGGTTCTGTTTACCCTGAAAAGTAGTTGAACACCATACGTTTCTTCCAGCGTTTTTGTGTGAAAAACTGTGCCTATCGGGTTGGTGGCCTTCTTCCAGTACGTTTGACATTCTGAGAAATCCAGCCACTAGCAGTTTTTGTTCAACGGTTGTCATTTATATGCATTACCTGTCCGACCTGCTTTGTCTTTGGACAGTTTGGCATATAGAACAGCATCTTTGGTTTTTGATCGCTGACGCAGATCGGTGCTTCGGATCCCATCCTTTACTTGTGTGTAACGGGATACTCCTAGCATTGTTTTTTCGACTGGGCTTTCAATAACGCTAAATGCTCTTTCATCTTGCTTACACAGCGAGCGGGCTTGTGACGCATAACTTAAAACAGGAAGAATCGTGAAGGTGGGGACGGAGGCGGGTATTTTTTGTTCTCTTCACTACGTCCTCGATGCTCTTGAAAGCTCTTCAAGCCACTCACTTCTTCCTACTCCACTACGAAACAAAGTCGCTCATCATGCTAATTTTCCGACATAGATAGAAGTAGCTGGAGATAAATGTAAATTTTCATGTCAAAGTTACATTGAGCGTTCGCCAACACTGCCTTGGTTCCATCCACCATCAGTGTTTCGAGCCGTTTGAACTGCGCATGTCCAAGTTTGAACTTGTAGAAATACATTTGACTAAAGCACTTTTTTAACATCTGAAATTTCTGCTGATAAAATTTGTTAGAAACACAAATTATTTAACAATCAAGCCATAAACATAAAAGATTGTAAAATAAGCTTTGCAATGCTATATAACAATACAGAATTAGACGAAAACTGAAGAAAAGATGCACAAGGAAAGTGAGATTACCAATACGACATCAACATCCGAAAAACAATTGGAATACTATTTGTAACGACTAAGCTTTCCACACTAGCTTCAAAACTAAAAAGTCGAAGCAGATTCATCCTTCGGTAGGCCCATAGGCTAAGTTATTGCTAGTTGCTGAGGGATGCTTGCTAACCTATCGGCACCCATGTTATCAACTGCCACTGCTGTTCTCCCTTTCTCAACGTACATTTAGTAACCGATAAAGAGTCACCACTGCGACGAATAGAAGTCGTCTCTCACACATACGCGATCTGTAATTTTCAATTTCGTTCTTTCACCCCTTTCAACTCCCTCGTCATTCAATATTGTAGAGCACCATGACTCGCACGCTTCCTCATAACATTGTTTTGAAGTCATAAATCTTGTTAACACTGGCGAAACTAACAAATTGTGTTGGTATAATGTTTTAACTTTTACTTCCCCTTTATTCTTACTTGTGGGTAGGCTACGATATAAAATGCAGTCGTCATACCGAGACACGAGGAAAACTCGGAGCTTCAGGTCTGGTCTCGCCTGCAGCTTCAGCTTAACTGGGTTTAATGTCGATTTTTATTCTCACATGATTCTGTTGAAAGGTGTTTTCTGGTAAGTGGAAGGCATAGCTGAGAGAAATGCAAAAAAATAAACCTATACCAATGCAAGAGTCTCCGATGGGGTGTTAGACTGTACGTTAGTCCCGGTTAGTGTAATCGCGTGCTCGAAGCCTAACTGTGTTCCGAGTTTTGCTCTTATCTCAGTATCCATATGTATTGTATTGGTACAGGTTTTTTTCAAGGATCACACCACATTGTTTTTACCAGTTATTTTTGGTCATATAATTTTTCACTCATGATACTTATCTCTTGTTACTTTAGAGTTTCTTTGACGGTCATACAATCAGAAGCGATGATTTTGTTGTTTTTGGTCATTCTCACGTCCTTCACTTCTCAACAGAGTAGCGCGTTCAAGATGGCTCTTTTCGTACCCGATCTTGCCAACAGCCAGGTGAGCATGTCGAGAGTAATTTCCAAAATCTAATTGTTAATTTTGTTCCGATACATGGGTTACGACTGAATCTAAAAGCTCGGAATTCAGAACAAGGTCAAAACGATGGGGCAGGCTCGAAAGGTTGAAAATAGGTAAAAGGATTGGTCAAAACAAAGGAAAGTTGGATACAAATCGTGCTGTTTTTCAGGTGCTTTTTAATGCCCGAGTGGCGGAAACACTGGCAAAAGGCGGTCACGATGTTACGATGGTGATGATTTCAAGTGTGGTTGGTCAAAATTCGGAAGATGTGAGGATCATGGAAGGAGTTAAAGGCATGTGAATAGTCGTTTTCGAAAATATTAAATTTTGCGTAGCAGTTCCCAAGACCGACTTTCTGTTAACCTCGCCATTGATTGATAATTCGACGTTTTTCTTCAATAAGTAGACACGAGGTGGTTATTATAGAATTTATTAGGATACAATAGCTGACGTTTCGGCGGCTTCGCTTCTTCAGAGCTTAGGAAGGTCAAATTGAGATGCGATTTACTCAGCCAAACACTTTCATAACCCTAGCAGATAAAACTTAACAAATAAATTTGTATTCGCATAAGAAACAGCTTTATTTAAACATTTACCGTTTAATTGTTGTAGGTATCTAAGTTAGTTGGTGGATAGCAGCCGAAAAGAGTAATACAAGGGCGATAACCGGTGGTTCTGGGATATTGGAATTTAGCGGCTTCTTCTTCTTTTCGCGAAAAATGGAATCTTGAACGAAGGAGACCATGGTCTGATCCCGCGTAGAATTTTGGGACAACAGCGAAATTGGTTAGGCAAAACCTTCTATTTACTATGATGTGGTCTATTTCGTTATGGTAATCTCCATTAGGAGACTTCCACGTCCAGCGTCGAGGGTGGGTCTTTTGGGATGGCGAGTTACCATGGATGGTTTTGGTCGTCGTGATAAACCCAGAGAGCCGCTCACCTTGTTCGTCCCATTCGTCTCGTCGTCCAGCCGATGACGTCGTACCATATCCTTCTTGCTTGCACGAGCAAGTCTTCTATCGAGGACTCGGATGCAGGCGTACGTGCTTTGTAGTTACAGATCGCCACCATAGTTCTTTGAAATTTAAGCAGTTTCCATTGGCCCTGAGATTTTTGCTGGCTCTCCGTACTCGTCCAACCCAACGCTGCGAAATTGGGGGCTCTTTCGGGGTCAGGGAAATAAGGCCCGTTTTTTTTACTGTGTTTAGCATTTTTGATACCCACGTATAGCTTGCTGGGCTCTGAACGTGGAGGCTGGGTATGCTCACGGATAGCTTGCCAGGCTCTCCCAAAGTTGAAATGGAGCTTATTTGTTGGAGGCGATAAAACGTTGCCTAATAGAGCCGGTCTAGAGATTTCCGTAAGGATAGGAATACCATCGGACACTCTAAGACGCCAGCTAGTTGGCAACCCTCCATATGACCGTCCATGTATAACGAGCCGCGGATCTTTCTCATATGAGGGATCCCGATAGCCGGTTAGCCGCGAGGCTACGTGGCGCGTCTCGTGGTGGCGGATACGGGGTTAATCGCGGACTAAAAGCGACCTATGCTTCCCTGAGATGCAGATGGATCCAGGGGATAGACTCCCTGTTCCTGCTGCGCTGATTTGGCACATACTTCCTGTATTTGCTAGGCGTATTCATGCACGCGTGTGTGGGTGCGTTCTTGCTTATGCGGATTGTATTCTACGAGTTAATTCGGCCAAATGGCTGCAATCAAGTGACTGGAAAGTAAATGGTAGGCGATTAGGGGTCGCCTCCAACAAATAAGCTCCATGTCCACTCTGAGAGAGTCTGGCCAGCTACCTGTGAGTATACCCAGCCTCCACGTTCAGAGCCCAGCAAGCTATACGTGGGTATCAAAAATGTTAAACACAGTAAAAAAAAACGGGCCTTATTCCCCTGACCCCGAAAGAGCCCCCAATTTCGCAGCGTTGGGTAGGACGAGTACGGAGAGCCAGCAAAAATCTCAGGGCCAATGGAAACTGCTTAAATTTCAAAGAACTATGGTGGCGATCTGTAACTACAAAGCACGTACGCCTGCATCCGAGTCCTCGATAGAAGACTTGCTCATGCAAGCAAGAAGATATGGCACGACGTCATCGGCCTGGACGAGACGAGAATGCGCCAACCATTCAACGCCGTCTATGACTTGTCTATGAACATCGATTCACTCGAACACCTAACAACCCGAATCGGGCGTTTACGATTAAAAAGACGTGGATCAATTAGAGCTTTGACAATCTTCGTCGTTTAAGCGCCGACATCAAACTATGACGAAGAAGAAGTCGAAGTGTTCTATAAGGACTTGCAGAAGTTCTACAGAGAAGACCATACATTCTTCAAGGTCATCATTGGAAATTTCTATTAGGAAAATGCCGTTGTCGATAACATCGACAAAAAATACGATCGGCTCATTCAACATCCTCACGTTAGCCCAATGAAAGCTCAGAGATCGAGAGTAACCAAGAGACGTTTGCCTGCAGAGACACTCAAGCTGATACACCAACGTGGAAACGCATGAGCTGCAGGCAACCGCAAACTGAAGTCTAAACTTCCAGTAATGGAGGAAGCTGCAAGGACTGGGAAAAGCATTCGCAAAGCTCAACGAAGTTTTACCATTTACAGGACCAAAATGATTGCACTCTGACGCCCAGACGGAACAGTTACAGCGTCCAGAAAGGCAGTGGAAAAATCATTCACGAATACTACTCGGATCTCTTCGACAGCCACGTCCACCTTCCTTCGTATGAAATAAAAGAGGATGGATATGTTGCACCACCGGTTCTCGATTCCGAAATCCGACATGCCATTTCGTCGGTGAAAAATCGAACAGCACCAGCCGCGGACAGGAGAGGGCCACAACACCTGAAGAACCTTCCGCCAGTCCTCGTAAACACACTGGCTCGGCTCTTTGCACGTTACTCGTCTGAATGCAAGGTTCCTACTCAGTGGAACACCAGTAAGACCGTATTATTGTTCAAGAAAGGTGATCTGCACAATATCGGCAACTATCGCACAACCTGCTTACTATCTGTTGTCTACAAACTTTTCACTCGAATCGTTCTAAACGGGATTAGCCGAACACAAGACGAAGGACAGCCATGTGAACAAACGGGGTTTCGAAGAGCACTTAGTGCGATGGACCACAACGACACGGTAACACGACTCTTCGAGTATCGCGAGAGTATAAAAAACCGTTCTGTTTCACTTTCATCGATTTAAAGAAGGCCTTTGACTCAACTGACGTAGAAGCAGTCTTGGAAGCCCTTGAGAGTCAAGGAGTCGCTACCCAGTACATGAAGGTTCTTCGTGAGCTGTAAAAAATTTCACAACCAAGATATCATCATTCTACAACGATATTAACATTGACGTCAAAAGAGGTGTTATGGAAGGCGATACCACCTCTCCAAAATTATTTACCGCCACCCTCCAGAACGTCATGCGAGTATTGGAATGGGATAATATGGGAGTGGAAATCGACGGTCGGCAGTTACACCATCTTCGCTTTGCCGATGACACCATCCTTATAACACCAATCATTAGCCAAGCGGAACGTATGCTTGCCGACTTTGATAAAGCCTGTGGAAAGGTTGGTCTTCGACTAAATGTCACAAAAACGATGTTCATGAGAAACAGATTGGTTTCGTATGCCCCATTCACGCTCAACGGAGCGAATATCTTCGAATGCTTCAGTTGCATCTGTCTAGGTAGGGAAACCAATACGATGAACGATCCAGAGCTGAGCAGAACTGCTGAGCGAGCGGCTTAAGGAGCTTTCAAGAGCATCGAGGATGTGGTGAAGAGAACAAAGAACACCCAACTCCGCGCCCATCTTTTCGACTCAACAGTACTTTCTGCCCTAACGTACGCGTCAGAAACCTGGTCGCTGCGTAAGCAGGATGAAAGGTCACTCAGCGTTATCGAACGCGCAGTCGAAAAGACGATGCTAGGAGTACCCCATTCCACACAAGTAAGGGATAGGATCTGAAGCTGCGACCTATGGCAACGATCAAAAATCGACAGGTCGAGAGCAGAGGGAAGAATCCTCGAAACTGGCGCGTCAAATAGTCACTTCAAATGGTTACGAAAGTGTAGCTTTTCGGCATAGGCATAGAGGAAAACTCACGCCCCAGAGCGATAACTCTAGCGAAGACAAGGCTCCGGTTCTCTTGCCCTTTATTTCAAACGAAATAAGTGCAGCCATAAAACGTTGCTTAATAACGGCCGGTAGAAAGAATTCCGTAATAGTGATAGAAATACCATCCACATTCTAAGACGTCAGCTAGTTCGCAACCGCCTATATGACCGTCTGCGTACAACGAAAGAGTGCATGGTTTGCCCAAACGGAAAAAAAAACAGCGATTGCATGAGTTCGGGTACAGTCTATCCGATCTCTTGTAAGGCGTGCGGAAACGAATACGTTAGCAAAACGGATGGACCGCTCTGCGTCCGCATGAAAGAACACCTAGTTGGTAAATCTAAATTAAAACAAAATACTCCACTAGGCGCGCATAGGATGCAGGAACACAAGAGAGAAGATTTTGAAGTAGAAGTCACTAACATCACGCACTAATCGAAAACATCAGCGCGTAAAACTTTTGGAGTGTTCTGGATCAATTCCAAAAATCCAAAAATGAATCACGAGGAGTGTCTTGTCATCATGCGTGACCTGGTGCCATACCTCAGGCTAATCCAGTGACCTGAAACAGACACAGTTCTCGCCCATGTATTACTCTGTGCGGCTGCTATCCACCAACTAACTTAAATAATTACAACAAATAAACGGTAGGTGTTTAAATGAAGCTGTTTCCTATGCGAATACAAATTTATTTGTTAAGTTTTATCTGCTGGGGTTATGAAAGTGTTTGGCTGAGTAGATCGTATCCCATTTTGACCTTTCCAAGCTCTGTAGAAGGCGAAACCGCCGAAACGTCAGCTATTGTATCCTAATAAATTCTATAATAACAACCTCGTGTCTGCTTATTGAAGAAAAACATCGACTAATTAAATTTTGGTCGTCAGATTTCTGCAAAAAAGAATACATGTTATTATGAGAAGCTTTTGTTCTCTTCCACTAGCTTCTCAACAAGATCGCTCTTCAAAAATTTTATCCCAAAAATTTTCCCGATCGGTTCTTTACCTTGCGCCCATTATCTACGACTATCTTTTAATTTAGGTCTTGGTTCGGCAGTGGCTGGGGGTTTTTGGTCTCGTTTGTGAACGTTGTTGAATTCTTCCCAAGTATACTCTCTCTGGTATCCTATAATAAATCCGCTATAGCGTTCCCAGCTCTTCACCAAAAAGCAAAGCCTTAGTGGATTAGAGGGAGGTTTTATCAGAGTAGTCTGGCACCGATTGGTCTACTCCGGAGGAATGAAAAGTTAGGTTGGCATCAGTGCTTGCAACCACTGCAGTTCGCGCACCTATTCAACAAGGCTTTAAATTTCTGATGGCTGTACACGCAGTAGTATTTTGACTCTAGGTATCATCAACTCTGAACTTCTTCCCTTTTTTTTCCAAAAATGGTGAGAATAAATTGTCATCAAGTTTACTCAATCAAATGTTTTTGCTTGTTTCCTCGATCTCACCATAAACCTGAGTTTTAATTACGTCAAAAATAGCCTTAAAAAATAAACCCTCTAGATTACTACATTAGCTGTCCAGTTTGTAAATTAACCAAAATCGCCAATGTGCTACCATGCAGAACTGTTGCAAGCCTCCAACCAAATTAACGTTTCGAGATATGCTGACGACTTCAGTGCGACGCTGAAAACATTCTTTTTTCCGTTCATTCAGGGTGTTGGCGCTTTTTTATGTTGACCGAAAAAAGCTGTCCACTTCTCTGAATTACTACGAGAGCATGATGTTGGCAGAAAAGTATATATAAGCGCTATTCAACAAGGCTTTGAATTTCTGATAGCTGTACACGCATGGTCGTCTAGTGTTTCTACACCTTCGCCGTTTTCGGAGCTGCGATGACCCAAGTCTCTGGTCCGCAGCTGGTCATTGTCGCGATGTAGGCGTTCGTATTCAGGTCGAATTCACTGGAGGAAGCACCGCCCGTGTGAAAAACTTTACGTAACAGTGTCCTTTTATGCATGGCGGATGTTGATGAATTTCCCATCCCATATGATGTGATTTTTTTGGAGAACAATTCATCCTGTAAAAGTCGGTATGCCATAGTTGGCACATATCGTGGCAATCTACGAAGAAATAACGATTTTTATTAGAAATCAGCAAAAGTAATCAATATATTCGTGAACTATTAGTATTTAGCAAGCACGGGATTTATTTAAAAAATCGCTACACCTCATCTTTAATGGGCTCTGGTAGTTTGTTTACCTCGGTAGGCTACTTTTTGGAACGACACCACTTAGCTTTCTCGTTTCGTAGATGTTTTCTTATCGCATTTTGCAAGTGATTAAATAGCCTCTCCGCCTTTATCCCTGCATGCTATTACACAATGCTGCACAATACATATAAGGCCAAGATGATTGAGTATTCTCTTGGTAAAAAGTACTTTTGGTTGTCTTTCTTAGTTGTTTTTTTGGAAGCCTGAAAAGTGAATTCTGAAATTTATTCCCATTATTGCTTTAACGAAGTTAACATTAATACGCTTTCAGTTCACAAGGTGAACGCCTCTTTCGGAATCAAAAAGGCAGACGTTGAAGAGCAACAGAAACTTTTTGTGTTCGAGGTCCTCAGCCTATTTGAGATTTAATTATTAATTATATCCATCCACATGATATTCTTATTTGAGGATCTCTCCGTTTGGGACTCACGGTTTCAGGAGCGCGTGAGACAAATGACGTTGTTTCTCACGGAGACGTGTCGCAGTAAATAAATTCACTTTCTTTTTTTCTTTTTTTTCTGTACACCCCAAAATTTTCTTCCAATAGTCGATCTCTCACATACTTGTAAAAAATAGACGACTCATCCTTCTTGAAGGTGTTATGTTAGAACTAGTAGAGATTGTTCTCGTCTCATAAAATACAAAAAAAAAACAGTAGGAGTAAATGATGGACTGTTGTAAGAAGTGTCAAGATGTAAAACTGATTGAAGCAAAGTTTCTCACAAAATGAGATTCTGTTTAGAGGTTCTAGAAAACAACCACTTTTTGAATTGGCTTTTGGTGCAAGAATTCGACCTCGCCTTCGCTCACCCTTACGACGTCTGTCCAATAGGACTCATTCACTATGCAAAGATCCCATCGTGGATTTGGCTGAGCAGGTTAACTTAATTTTTCAATGAGGTTCAACGAAGTAGAAGTATCCAATGAGAGGGTTACTATATGCTTCGTTTGACTTTGCAGTGGCGGTATGAAGGATTTCATTGCATACTACATGGGAGCGCCGACGATACCAAGCTATGTACCTCGTAAGTCACAAAGATTCCTTATATCCTTAAAAGTTTAGCGTTTTGGTGCAAGAATTTAGCATCGATAATGGAAAGCAGCGATCAGATGAATTTCGTGGAAAGAGTGAAGAGTTTTGTTGGACACGCATTGACTATCCCTCTATGGAAAAGGTTATTTCAAAGCAATAAGTAGAATTTGGAGTTTTATGAATAAGAATAAGATCACCGCAACTATTTTAAAGCTTAATTTTATATTTATTTAGCATGTCTGTGTTAGGAACAAAATTTATGTAAGTGCGGTAAAAGCGTAGACGGATCGTCCACCATACACAAGGTATTTGGCTCGACAGCCCTTCAAACGAGGAATTCCACTTTTCTGGACCGGCACATTGGTTACAGATTTGTCTAGAAAGGCAAAAATGCTGAGATAAAATAGGCCACTACAAGACGTTTTGCGTAGGCCGAGTTTTTATTCAGTTACTTCGGTTCGTGATTGAGTCGAGTTCATTGCGTATCCCTAAGAAAATGCTCAGCTCCTAGCTCTAAAAAACCTATAATTTTAACGTTTCTGCGAGCAATATTGAAATGTAATATGATGTAGATACAACCTATAAATTTCTCCAGTCAGTTTTGATTTGGTAGAACAATTCACAGTTTTCTTTACATTAGAATGCTTTCCGACCGTGAGACGGAACTTTTTCGCAATCTGATTGGTCCGAACTTTCCCGATATCGTCGATGTTGCCAAAGAATGTCCACTGGTGAAGCTTACAAATTCTTTCTATTGCAGAACATTTTAGTTTATTTTCTCAAGAGCCCATGTTCCTTTTACCTCAAATATTCTAATAATTTCAGGTAATGGTAAACTCTAACGAACTTTACGAGGCGCCAAGACCAACACTGTCGAAAATTGTGAACATTGGCGGTGTGGGCATGGAATTTAAGGAGACCAATCCTCTACCTGCTGTATGTCCTTTCATTAACATTAGTTATCTGGTTAACACAGGTGACAATGTGCATTAGTTTCTATGCAGGCGTAGACTGCTACGGATGGCACACAGCATTTTCAACGAATTTGCTTTTCGCTAGTTTCTTTCATTTCACGGATTTTCCCACCTCCTACTTTTATCCGCAGATAGCTTCTCCAACGCTGTTCCGTGAGAAGCTGCATTATACATTGAAAATTATACAGAATGTGCTTTTAAGCGAGCTTTTTCGTCGTTCTACAGAGAGCGTTGCTGTTAAACAGACTGTAATGATATCTCGGTTGTGCAGAACGCAATAAACGAAGAGGACATGACTCTATCTCTGGCACAAATGTAACATAGAGTTTCTTGATAATTGATTGCTTTTTGTGCCAACAGAATCGCGCAAACATCGTTGTTAACAAAAACGCCGCTCAGTGCCTTTTTTTCGGGTGCACAATAGACCACGCATTTAAACGTTAATGCAGTGCGTAGCGAACGAGAAATTAAGTGTCGTCCAATGTGACAATGGTCAAACAACAGAAACAACGTGTTGTCGCAAATATGTTGATGAAGTCATTCGGCTATGTTCAACAATTAATTCTAGGAGTTCCAACGAATAATAGACGACGGTGTGGGATTGGTGGTGTTTTCCTTTGGCTCCGTAGTTCCTAGCCACAAGATGCCAACTCTATGGAAAAAATCCTTCCTCAATGCCTTCAGAAGCTTTCCAGAACATCATTTCGTCATGAAATATGAAGGAACAGACTTGCAAGGTGAAGCGTTAGACTTCTGCTTGTGTTTGATGGTTTCTCTCATTTCTCAACTATACCATGCAAAAGTCTCTACATGCTTTCTACTTTACATTAACTTTCCTCTTCTTTGTGAATTTTTTCCTTTCATCTAATTGCTCCAGATCAGCTTCCTCCAAATGCGCACGTGTTCAAATGGTTGCCGCAAATCGACCTTCTAGCGCATAACAAAACCAAAGCATTCATTTCCCATGGAGGCTACAACAGTTTACAGGTTAGCGTAGTGGTCTGAAATAAGAAGAAAGACCTTACAAATCTAAGGTTTAAACAAACTTCGAATGCTCATTTCTCCTCCAATTATTTCTCTCTGTTTCCTCATGTTTCTATGCATTTCTGATCTCACTTTCTTCCTTTGCCTTTTTCTCATCATGCTTTAAATTTCTTTGCTTAATTAACAACAAATTTCATCATCCGCTATTTGTTGCGGTGTCGCAGACGCTCTTCCGAGTTCATCTGCACCAGAACTTCCTATATTTTAAGAGAGTTGAATATTCTTGCCTTTGGAATAGTCAAGGCAACAGAACCAATATAAACATCTTTCACAAAGGGCTACGAGGTCTCCCAGAAAGCATTTCCGACTTTATTCGTCGATTTCTGATGTATAATTGGTTGTACCAGGTTGGAACCACTTTGCGGAGCAGCAGACTCATATCCATATTTATTAGATAGCTTAATGCCGGTTATATACAATGTAACTCAATGTTATTGCATTTTGTTGACTAACTGACAACAGCTTTCTGTGACAGTGGTTTTCTAGGTTCCAAGAAAACTATGGTCGATGGTCTCATTCGTCGAGCATGGTAAGGTAGCCACAGGTTTTCGAATCAAATTTAGTTTTAGGAATTTTTCTGGGTGCTCATTGCAACTTTGTGCAGAATGTCCCTTGTCCTCGTCTGGAATACAATTTTTAACGCGTGTCCCAATGAGAGCAACATGCGAGCCATTTATATTGCTTGAGAAGAGCAGTCTTTTGTTTGAGTTTCCACACATAAAATTTTTTTGACTCGCACTTCATTAGAGGTGTTCCGCAAGTGTTTCTAAACCCAAATCTAATTTTTCTAGCCTCTCCGTTGGGAGCCCATAGATCTGCTTCTTTTATCACGTTCAAATAACCACCGTACATGGCAACTGGTCATTTCCAATCATTTTCTATTTCACGGCTAACACTAGAATTGAAGCTAACTGTGAACTGCAAGATCTTTAGCAGATCTTAACCAGATATGGCCATAAGTGCTGCAGATCGTTTCTACATCATTACGCAAGTGCACCTAACCATGGAAAAGTGGATTTGAGTTTTAGAGCACTCTCTTCCCAGCTCCATCCCGATAGCCGAAGTGGACACAAATTTGCATCGACGGAATAGTGAAATAGGATTGCAAAGCGAAATATTCGGCTTGATTCAGCATATAATGCAAGTACAACGGCATGAAACCTTTATGAAAATGGAGAGTTAATATTTGAAAACACGATCTGAAGTGGCCATATAAAAGGAACGAAACGAATGCGTGCGATTTGCAAATTTTGTATGAATATGAAATGAGCGTTTCTTCTCTCAAGTTGTTCAACGGCATGCAATAATCGATAGTCTGTTCAATGACTTTCTTCTTTTTTCAGGAAGCGATCATTGCTGGTGTTCCCTTGATAACCATAGCGCTGTTCGGTGACCAGCAGAAGAATGCGAAGTTGGCTGAGAAGCACGGAATTTCTGTGAATATTAGAAAGAACAGCCTTACCGCAGACGCTATCGTCAATGCGCTTAAGAAGTTATTCAATGACCATAGGTTAGTCTGCCGCCAAATTTTAAATATTAGAGCATCATCTTTGGTTTCTCGCTTAAAGTGTGCCTGCTTTTTTTCTGTAATTTTTCGCAGTATATCGTTACCTTCTTGGCCAGCTTCTACGAATTATAGATTCTATTTTCACTGCGCTGCATTCATTCGACCCGTACTCTAGCATCCAACATAGGCAAATGTCTTCAGATGAGTTCAGATGCTGCTTGAGTATTGTGTCCTTATTTATCAGTGTTAGTGAATGCTGGTCGATTCGATTCTCTCTGGTACACTTGGGTGCGTGTGGCGCAGTGCTCGGAGGCGCCCTGCGACGTACGCGTAGGATCGGTTCCCATGCCAGTGACGCACCAACGCCTCCATCCTTACGGCGTCGGCAAACTGCTACCAGATTTATCTGGGAAGATAGCAGCATTGGGTCGTTGCATCGGTAGGCCACCGCAAGTCATTGTAAAGGCCAGATATGCATTCAACCACCTCCAACGATACTTGATGAAGCGGAATGCATGGCACATCCCTCAGGAATTGATCAACGCTGATAGCTTTATCCTTTACCCTTTATCCTTTATTTATTCTGGTACCCTTGTATACCCGTCATAGAACGTTCCGAAATCCGCACTACAGTCTGTCACTAGCGTTTATGGACCGGTTTTCCAGACACATCTGCCAGCTCGACCCAACGACTTTGCGTTTATTGTTGCACTGCACCTCTATTCTCAGAGAGATCCTAGGATCCACTCCATTTACTTCTGTACAGGTCGACAAGTTATCTATGATTTCAAAATGAATGAGTGCACATTGATAGGTTAAGCCGATATCAGAGGAAAGTGGGTTTTAAAATATTATTACGTTTTGTGCTGGCTGATAATGATAACGAGTACTGCAGGATAAATCATCCAGAGAGAAACGAATGAATATTAACAGTTGATCAGAACCAGCAACCATCCTGTACAAAAGGGCGCTACGGGGTGAAGTTATTTCATTCGAGCGGCGCTGCACTGAAGAAGATCCGTCTTGGTGGGATTGCGAAGATGCCGCATCGAGGACGTGAACAGCTGTGAACCATCGACATGGATCGTTGGCTCTGATAAGAAAGAAAACGTCGAAACGTTGGCCGAATAAGCTTTTCTATCGACTTCATGTTAGCCTGTCCATGGAAGAGTGTTACCCGTGGTCATTCCAACGACCGATTTTCTATTAACCCCGGATTTTGTAATTCAATATTCTTTTGATGAGCAACTATGAGGTTGTTACTTTATTCTTTATTCATGAATAAGCTGACGTTTCGGTAGATTTCAACTTCTGCAGAGTTTCGAAAAATCAAGTTGACTCAACACAAAATACGCATCACCATCCTCATCGCGCACTCACCGTTTTCCATGAATCTTCCACTGATTTCCCGTGGGCACCAACAGCACAGAGTTCACATGGAAGGGTAATACGCCTTTCACATTAAAATAACAGTCTTAAATGCCGTGTGAGATTACGCGAGATTACGACGCATTCTTCCCTCGTGTTTGTTCGTCAAGAGAACAGTGAATTATTCGTTCAATGCCAAGGTTAATGCGCCACCAAGATACTTCCGATTTGTAAAAAAAAGCACTTCCACTAAGGCAGAAGATCGTACAAACTCAACAGACAATGCACTTTCCCCACAGCTTCCTAGAAGTGGTTCCGAACTTCATCAAACGAAGACGATACACGATGTATGCGGACTAGCAACGGAAAGCCACGGAGTGCTGGACATCGAAATGTGAATGCTACACGCCTGTATACGAAGCAAACAAGAAAATATGCTTGCCAACATTGAAGAACTGCGTGACGAATGAATACCATTGTGGCCAGCATTTGGAGGACCGCCCATATTGGAGATAGTGGGTGGGTTAGCGTTGATATGCAACCCTACAAATCCAATGCTTAAGTAAATTTGTGGAGAAAATTCGAAGACCTTTTTTAGTAAATCACATAACGCAGACTGAAGCTGGTATAGAAACACCGCTAACGAAGATCAAACACATCACAATAAAAAATATGTCAGAAAAGTCAAGGTTTAACGTGTTAGGAGGCATAGCTCTTTCTGACGGAGGGCGCTCGCTATTAGGATTGGGCCGAAATTTCTCACCGTCTGAACTCATTTCTAAGGTATCCATACGTAGGGTGGTATGTAATTTGCATGAACTTCAAGATAGACCCACAACGAAGCTAGAGTTGAAGAGCTAAATACGAGCAAACGAAAAGAAGTGTGGGCATTACCAGTACCATCTCTTCCTCAACGGTTCTTTAGCCAATACCCCAATAATGAAGCCAACATTAAGGGAGGGCTTGGGGTACGAAAGCTGCTAGAATTGAAAAATATTAGACAATCCGTTAGTGATAACGGTGGAGTGTTTGCAGTAATTCCTTATCAGTTAAATGCTGAAATAACGGAGAAGCATCCTGAAGATGCTTTCTTTAATCGCAGATTATCTCAGAAAGAATTTGAATGTCAATACTAAAACTTGAACAATGAATATGTCGAAATAGTAAAGACAGCCTGTTTAAAACCAACAGTTATCACTCAACTCAAAGTTGGCGTACCAAAATGTTCCATCTTCCACTTACTGATCAGAACTCATAGGTTGTTACAACCACAACGTTGCTGAGATATTTGCAAAACTCTGGACCGCAGGTGTCTATGGTGGGGAACGAACGCGCTATTGTCCTTTCCGGGGAGTAACGCGTTCACCACCACACCATGCGGGTCCTTTGTTTCGCACGTCTCTCAGCTATTTCTATCGATCTTTTTGCCACAGCAATCACCCGTCAGCGGGGTTGATCTGGGGAGCGCAAATCGGCATAGAACCCAGTTAAGCTATGGCTGTAGTTGAAATCACAATGTTTAACGTTTTGTTTTCTGCCTTCTATAATTTTCATAACTGGGTTCTATGCCGATTTGCGCTCCCCAGATCAACCCCGCTGACGGGTGATTGCTGTGGCAAAAAGATCGATAGAAATAGCTTAGCTTAACTGGGTTCTATGCCGATTTGCGCTCCCCAGATCAACCCCGCTGACGGGTGATTGCTGTGGCAAAAAGATCGATAGAAATAGCTGAGAGACGTGCGAAACAAAGGACCCGCATGGTGTGGTGGTGAACGCGTTACTCCCCGGAAAGGACAATAGCGCGTTCGTTCCCCACCATAGACACCTGCGGTCCAGAGTTTTGCAAATATCTCAGCAACGTTGTGGTTGTATTTCGCTTACTTAGTAACCTGCCATAAAAATTATAGAAGGCAGAAAACAAACCGTTAATCATAGGTTGTTATTCATGCTTAAACTTGCCATTAACTGTGTAGACGGGCCAACAACGTGGCTTTTAACCCAAATACTCCCATTAGAGCGTTGCCCAAACTGCTCAAACTTCAGATAATCTGAGAGGTATTACGCATAAATGAGAGTAATGGCAATGGGACAGCAATTGGCACCAAGCATTGCCATTGCATTTCTGCCTAAGGTGGAAGGACCAGTAACCGTTCTCTGGCCGGCGGCTCTTCTATAGATATATAGATGATTGTTTTATCATCTGCTCCATACAACAGGAGATAGATAAATGTTTTTGAGCAGTCAAAGTACAATACGTGTACAAGAGAGAAACCGAATGGAAACTAGGTTCCATTTTAAACGTTTAAATTGAACTATCCGAAAACGGCTGCAATACAAAATGATATCGAAAGCCAAGCAGTAAAAACACACCGGATCATTACTGCTCCTCTTACCCTTACACGCAAAAAAGCGCTTGTAAGAAACATGTTTCGAATAGCCACCAGCGTGTGCGGAGGAAGACGGCAAAGGGAGGAATCATGGAAATTGGGGAAGCAAGTAGCCATTTCTAATGGCTAAGAAAATGTCGTTTCTCGGGATAGGTGTAGAGAAAAACCAGTGCGCCCAAATGACAACGCTAGCGATAATAAGGCCCCGTTTACCCTGTCCTTCATTTCAAATGAAATAAGTGGAGCTGCAAAACGTTGCCTAAGAAGGATCGGTCTAGAGAATTTAGCCATAATAGTTAAAATGCCACCGAAGTGCTAAGACGCCAGCTAGTTCGTAGCCGCCTGGATGACCGCCTATATACAACAGAAAACTGCATAAATTGCGCCAACGAGAGGGACGGTGGTTGCACGAGTTCGGGTACAGTCTATCTGATCTCTTGTAAAGCGTGCGGGGAGGAATACATTGGCCGAACGGGTAGACCACTCTGCGCCCGTATAAGAGAACACCTAATCGATAAACTTGAAGTTAAACCAAACACTCAACAAAGCGCGCATGGGATACAGAGACATAACGGGGGAGATCCTGAAGTAGAAGTTGCTGTCTCGCCTAGGAATCGATAACCTCAGTGCGCGGAAATTTCGTAGCATTTTGAATAAATTCTAAGAGTGGGAAAATAAACCGCAGAGGAAAATGCCTCGCAATCACGCGTGGTCTCACACAGTATTTAGGACTGATATTTTAATGTGAGAGCGACAATGAGCCACCACGTGAGCTTCTTAGTAGAAGACTCATAGAAAGTGGTGAGTATGTGAGGAAGCTACTTTTTTTTTAACATAAATGAAATCTTGGTTTCCTTTTTTTCTGTTTTGGAGGTGTTTGGCTGAGTAGATTGCACTCAACTTGAAAATCCACTGAGACGTCAGTTTGTTCATGAATAGAGAATAAAGTAGCAACCACGTGCTCGCGCATCACGGTTATCGACAATGAGTTATCGATGATTATTGCCATCGTTATAACAGAATACGGTGACTCCGTGCAATCTTCTTGCCGAAAACCAAAATAAAATTCGTTTCGTGAAAAATTAGAAAGATGTTCAGCGCTCATCACCACGGAATGCGGATCCTTCGTTTCGCCTTCCTCTCAGCTAGTTCTATGTAGTAGTGCCATCAGCACTCACTCGGTAATGGTATTGATCACTATGTATTAGGTTTGTAAAAACGAAGTTGTTATGGAGGCAGATTATAAGATTAGATATTTACAAACCATTAATCGATGTGGTCCATCCGAGCTTGTGGTCACTAGATCGTATTGACGAATTTATCGAGGAGTGTGACGTTCGAACTTCGAATAAGTTCAAACTGATATTGTTTGTCTTATCCTTTAAGTCATTACGATTGACGTGTGAAGCTATAGTGCAAAAATCACACAACTCTTCGACAGAGTTGGCAGCAAATGACGAGCGATCAATGATGGTAGGATCTAAAAGAGCGTTAATCTCAAACGCAAAAGCCGTTCCAGCAGTTGAAAACTTTCGTACCAATTGGGGTTATCGATCAACACTTTTATCTTACAGGGTTTTTGTTGAAGGTAAGATCATCTGAGCAGCATTTGGGCTTTTAAGCCTTAACTAAAAGCATTCGTTATAAATGGTTTGTATTTAAGTTACACGCAAAATATCAGGCGACTATCAAGCATGGTGAAAAAGAGACCAGTGAAGGCTGAACATCTTCTGGTGGCTTGGGCGGAATTCGTTGCTGAATTCAAAACTCTCGAAAACTTAGTTCCTGCCGGCAGCAACCTTGGTTTTCTCCAATACCATTCAATTGATGTTATTGGATTCTTGTTCATTGTTCTAGTTTCAATTCTCTTCGTCGTGTACAAGTTCCTACTTTTCATTGTTACGAAGCTATACCGTTTAACATTTCATTCTAGGAAGCAAAAAGAAGCATAGCAAATGTTTTGGACATTTTGTGAAAGCCATGCCTAGAAAACTAATGACAAAACACCTGCTCAATAGCTTTGCGAACTTTTTGTGGTTTATATCAAGGGTCTTCATTTAATATTATGATAAAGTATTAACACAGCTGCTCCCGTTCGGTAGAAGTTGAAGGATTTTTAGGAGTTCCAAGGGGTCGTGATTTGGCAGGCATCATGTTTCACCGCATGGGGATCTGAAAAATCTTGCTGTGTTCACATCGTAATGTCCTTGCAAGCAATATTTCGCTACAAAGTATTTAATCATTTTCAGGGATATTGGAAGCATAAATAATTCCAATGAGAAAGTAGTTCATCTGGTGAACCCTATGAATGTGTTCTGGTAAGGATAATGTAATAGATCTGCAAGATTCTATTGTTTTTTTTGGTAATCGAAGACACGTTTGGAAAGCGTTTTGATGTCGTGCATACCCGCCATTGATTTTCCAAGTCTAGAGTTCTAAAATCTCATTCAAAACAAACAGGTCAGTCGTGTCAAGCAGATGCAAGGGTTTATAGAGGAGTGGTGCTGACATTGGAAATAAAGTTAGCAGTGGCCCTAGAGTACTTTGTATTATCTAGCAATTTCAATAGTTTCTATGCGAATCGAACCAACTGGTTGAATCTAAGTGTTTTCATTGCTTGACGTCCGCGATGTGATAGATTGTGACGGGATTTGGATGGTATGAAAATACAGAATATGGATACACTCCGAGTAGATTCAGAGCCGACCGTCTGAAGAACTAACGCTTCACCCATCAGCCGCTTTCTTGGTCTTGACACGTGGCTTTGCGAATGAAAGGTCTACATTGGTTGAAAAATCAGCGGTAAGGAGTTGGAGCATAGACGGTAGAATGCAAGACGTTGGCATATACTGCCCAATCCGCTTAGTTCTCATAGTCTCCAAGCTCTTCGCTCGAATAACCCTTAGCAGAACTGATGAAAGGACAGGTTCGTTGAAGAGATAAGCATACGAGAAAGCCGGATTTCGAAAAAGTTAAGATGGACAATATTTATAAGAAAACAGAATTACCTCAATACCTTCTTGTATTATTAAGCGAACGGTTGATAAAGTTTATTGGGATAATGTTTCGACGACTTTGTCTTCCTCAGAGCTTATAGTCCGAATAGATGGTCCACAGTCGTTCGTCCTCTTGGAGTGATGTCTTCGTCGACGTATCGAGTCGAAAGTTTTAAAGTAAAGCACCACTTGAATAAAATAATCTCGCTCTGAAAAAAGTAATATGACTTTTGCCGACTTAAAAATAACTTAGGCCACGAGCAATGATGAGAAAATCGGCCAACACGTCCGTAGTTCTGCTTCGACACTGGTCAGCCAACCAAGTCTCTTATCCCTCTAGACTCGGGAATTGTTAGCAGACTGGTCTTCGAAGCTATTTTCTATGAAAAAAGGCTGGTGACCATTTGCTGTGAAGTCATAAAAGCTTTCTAGCACTGCTAACATTTCCAGGTTTCCAGAGGGAATTAACCTGACTGGTGTTCAGCGAAATTTGTAAGGAATACCAGAATACTGAGACATCGGCGGAACCTATATATAGATAAGAAAAGTTTCGTTGATGATAGATCCGAAAAGTTAACAAATAAGACTAGAAAAGGCAAATAAGATTAACTAAAAACTCGGCTAACTAAACTAAAACTAAAGTAAATAGTAACACAAAATAGGTGCTGAAATCCGTATGATTTATGACGCAGAATCTTGTAAAAAAATTAGAAAATAATCAAGTACAAATATATATGTGCATTATGTATAATATATCAATGCTTATAAATGAAGTATATTTGTACATAATAAATAGATGTGTAGATGCCAGACATGGAGCAATTACACCACCATAAAACGCAGTGAAATGAAAATGGTTAAAAAGTCACCGTAAAAGAATGGAAGGCAGCGGCTCAGCATATAGTTGAGTCGATTTCTATCCATGGAAACGACTAGTGATTTTTAAGAAGAAAAATAGAAGCGGATATTCATAATTTACCTACTTGGATACTTGGACGGTCCGTCTTCACGAGTTGTGACCCCAGCAAATATGCCATTCATTTCTTACCTTCGCAGTCGTCGTCCATAGTGGTGGTTTTCTTCGAGCATGGTGGTGCGTGGGAGTCTCATACCGTGATCTATAAAACAACTGCAACTGAGGATATGGTTGACTAACTTTGTTCACGAACACGTCCGCACAATGTGTAGGTGGCCGTCCTAAGAAACATTGGATATGCGTAACACTGGACATATTGAAAGAAATTATGTTCAGACTGAAAACTGTCTACCACAGCAAAACACATCTAGGTAGTAGCAACCATTGCGTACACTAGAGCTAGACGGAGCTGCATTACTTGTTCCATGTATCCTTTCTTCAAACACGGCGCTAATTTCTTGCCATTCCTTGCAGAACTTCCAGAAATCATTATTTCAGGAGATGTCGACAATTTCGGTGCTTATGTTTTATGCCTATACACTTATCAGATCCCAATCATCTTAATAGGGACGCTTACCGAAGAGATGCAATCTTGCCTTATCCCTTACAGATCTACGAACAACGCCACCCGGTTATGATAGGATTCAGTTACGACCAATGACGTGATTATCTGTTTGCGCTGACGAGTGAGTGATTACGATATCGGAGATCCAAATCAGATGCTGTGGCAATTTAGATGAGCCGACGGCGCAGTTGGTCAAGATGAGTAGTGTAATCATTCGAAATACTCTAACCACTAAGTAATAACGAAAAATAACTAAATGGATCGCAACGACCTATTAATCTTAACACATCTGCGACGAATGACACCTATAGTTGTCATATTGAAGTTGCCAGAGTGGCCGATATGAATCCCGTAAGTTTCTTTTTTTCGGTGGTTAGTTTCGGTGCGTAAAAATCTTCCCGTATACTTCTTGTAATCAGTCGATAACTTATCCAATGCTGATGATGTGACGTGCGCTGTCCATGGGAGGGATGTCTTCCTAACAATTTTAACTTATTATTTACTGCCTACTCTTTTTAACAGCAGGGTATACATTGTGAAATATAACTTTAATGGTGCTGAGATATTTGCAAAACTCCGGACCGCAGGTATATGCGGTGGGGAACGAACGCGCTATTGTCCTTTCCAAAGAGTAGCGCGTTCACCACCACACCAAGCAGGCCCTTCGTTTCGCCTTCTCTCGGTGCCTCGTTTCGCCTGCAAATATCTTCCTAACAATTTCTTATTTTCTGGCAAGGAACCATTAATGTGGAAGAGAATGTGCTCTCTAGAGAAAACTGCCAATGGAAAGGTGCAGAAATGCCTATGCCTCGAAGGACTGGCAACTCATGCGGTGTGTAGCATCATTTTTGACAAGCAATTGGTTATTTTCCAATTTCCAATCACTGTTATGACCTTTGGGTATTATTTGAAATGATATGGAATCAGAATTAACAGGAAAACATCATAATGTTCCTTGCAGAACTTACACAACTTCATGAATTGCCGGCAGCAGTATGACTGCGTAGTGGACGAGTGTTTTTTCCTTCACACACAAGAGTTGTTTACGAGCTAAAAATATGGGAGGAGTCTAGGAAAACATAGAGGATAGGTAGAAGAGGCGCAAAAATTCATTCAAAACCCAAAGAAGAATCGATTTATAGGAGTGAAATCACAACACACAACAAAAAGAGCGTGTTCCCATGAATACTTCCACAGTGGGCGAAGTGACATCTACAGGTTGCACAGCGAAAAACTGGGTATCGTAAGCCCACAAAAGTGCGAAATGATATTGCGTCTCGACAGTTTTAACTGGTAAGATCACGCGAACATTCGATCAATCTAGATGGGATGGAATTTAAATCACTGTGAGGGAAATTTCATCTCGAACATCCAGTGAACCTCGTTATGAATAACCAGTGATTTAATGGGAAACCCACTCTGGGTTAACCATAATGGTGCTGAGATATTTGCAGAACACCGAATCGCTGGTGTCTCTGGTGGAGCCCGAACACGCAATTACTCTTGCCGGGGGCTAACGCATTCACTACCGCACCACACGAGTCCTTCGCTTCGCTTTCTCTCCACCTTATTTTTGGCCTATGGTGCTATCAGCAATCACGAGTCAGGAGGATTAATCTGGGAAAGCCAAGTTGAAGGCGACACCAGCGTTCCAGAGTTTTGCAAATATCTCAGCATTACCGTGGTTGTATTTCGCATAATACCCTGCCGTGAAAATTGTAGCAGGCAGCAAATAAAAAGTTTACAAAGAGGATTTGGTTTAACTTTCATTTACTATCTATTCGTCTTTTGACCACGGAATTTTATGTGAAATGCAACCACAATATTGAGGCATGAGCAAGACTCTGAGCTCTAGGTGAGCTTCGAACTCTCTACTACCCAAAAAATGGGCAGTAGAAAAAGCCAACCGTTGTGATTTCCTACCATTTCAGCTCAGCTGGGTTCAAAACCGATTTTTGAACCGCAGATAATTGCCATTGACGGTGATTCCTTACAGCACTGCTAGGGTAAAACCTAGCCGAGAGAAAGACAAAGCAAGTGCCTCGATTGTGGTCTAGGAAAGAGGATCTTGTTTAGCTTATTGGCAATAACTTGACGTCTAAAGGAGTCAGAGCTAAATTGGTGTTGCAATAGGTATGAATGTACTAAGGTCATTTTTTCCCATCTGTTCCAAATGGCCTGGAGAGACTGAGGCTTAGATAGCTTTTGAGACGAGGCCCAACCAAAGACCACGTCTGCGTTGCACGGCGCCTCTAATCATTGCGCTGCACGGGCTCCTATATACCCATAGAATAATTGAACAACGCTCCTTCTACAGAGAACTTGAGATCTCAACTAATGAAGCGCTTTAAACATCGAAAAATTATGGATAGTACCCAGGATCGACTTTCTATTAACCTCGGCATTGATCAAGTAATTCTTCGTATTTTTGTTGAGCAAACGCGAGGTGTTATTATTCTTTATTCACGAACAAGC